CCTCGCCCCCGCTCGGTTCCCTGACCCCAAAACCCTCTTCCTCTCCTCTCCTACCCCAGGGCTCTCCACCCAATACCCCCCCACAAGGCATCTCAAGGCAGATACCGGTTTATTGGACAACGGCAGCAACGCAGCGGGATATGGGCTCATACGGACTGCGCATACAGACAGCCTGCATACCCATTGGCGGAAGGAAAGGGCTGCATTCGGTGCTGGGCTGTCTCCCTTGTCAGGTGCTGTTCCTCACGAATGGGATCAAGCTTCAGCAACACTCGAACCAACAACTACGACAACAACAGGCTGTTGGTCAAATGAATGGGGTGTAGTAGAGCATTGCTTTCGGTTACAAATTCTCCTAGCAATAATCAGGAGACCTGCGTATACTATCACTCACCATAGGCTGTTGTCATGTAGGCAAGTAGCTCACACTGTTGTGTAGTTCTACTTGCCAAACTTCACTCCTTGTCGATGGGCGCGGTAGCTTGCTGCCATTACAAATGCATGTCTGTCCTTCTAGTGGCAGTCATGATACAGGTGCATACCATCACTCACCATAGACTGTCATGTAGGCAAGCAACTCAGACTGCTGTGTAGTTCTACTTGCCAAACTTTATTCTGAGAAGGCGAGCCCGGTAGCTTGCAGTCATTACAATTGCATGTCTGTTCTGACTGTTCACACAAACAACTACAATGTTCTGGGACGCTGGACCCGATTTCCAGCAGGTGCCACTCCCCAACAATAGATGGAGCCTCCCCGGCGGTGCTAGTGGTGCCTGCTCTTAGCAGCACCCCTAGCTTCCGTTCGGGTGTTCTCAGAAAAAAAAAAGGAAAAAAAAGAGGTCTCCCCCATGGAACTCATATTTTTATCGACAGCTCCATATGAGTATCATTCAGCCACGAAGAGCGGACAGGAGAAGGGAAAGGACGACGAGCGGGAAGAGGAGGATGACAAACCAGAAGAGGAGCATGTTGAGGGTGGGAAGGACAACGAACTGGAGGAGCGGGAGCAGGAGGAGGAAGGGGAGGACGATGAACACAACGACCTCGTGGGGCTCGGGGGGACACAGGGAGGGAGGGGGAGAGAGAGAGAGAGAGAGAGAGAGAGAGAGAGAGAGAGAGAGAGAGAGAGAGAGAGAGAGAGGGTGGTGGAGCAGGAGGGGCAGGAGGGGCAGGAGGATGAGGAGGAGGAAGACGATGATGAAAAAGGGATGTGCGCCTCGGCTTCGCTGCAGCAGGTTTGACTTGTTTTTTGAAATTAAAGAGTATGGAGCTTGATTATATATGTTGGGAACCGGGTCCTTTACAGTAGATCTATTGTCCACTGTGGCAGAAATTGAACGATGTGGTTAGATCCAAGAGGCAGGCTCGTCTTCAAGAGCCTGTGGTCTCATTGAAGAATCATGGAGAGGCGATCATCAGGTCCTGGTTATCCAGTGGATGTCCAAGCGGAAAGGCCTACACTCTTCTGTGATTGGAAGAACTCTAGCTAACATTTTTGTCCATTTTTGTTTTTTACGCACCTAACATATTTGCAATCAGACTCGTCTTCTTTCTTACTTAGCATGCATGAAACAAATGGCAATCACACTGGCGACAAGCGCCCACACCAAGCTCAGAGAAATTGTGGCCAAGAACACAGTTCAGATTCAACTTGCTTTGAAATGGCTATGGCGCCTGTGCGCCCTCACAACATCCTTCCACGTTGTATCCTTAGCAACAGTTCTCACGCACGATACTCTGGAACTCCCTGGATGTCCCACACACACTCACAACTCACTGCACACTCTCATACACAAACACGCTGTAGACTACCTCTAACCTAGTGCAGCTATGGCTGCTTGCTACCTCTACCACTACTAGCGGCTATGGCCGCCTCGTCTCCCTCGCAGCCCTCTTCTCACTCGGGCACCTGCAGACCTCCTTGCACAAGTCGCTCTGCCAGCGCTTCCGCACGGCTCGCAGTCTGAATGAATGAATAACTGGACGCTGCCTCTTGCTTTATACTTCGGTTGGTCGCTGGAGTGCTCCTTTCCACCGGGCCTAGGGTGCACACAGTCCCACATGTACTTGCTCACTGGACAAAGTGCTACTTGTACTTGCTCACTGGACAAAGTGCTACTGGGACTGGGTACCGCTGACTAGACGAGGTTGGACTGCCCACTTGCCCCCTTGCCTCTGGCCTGACTCCGGCGACTCTCGAAAGGCCACTTCCGGACCTTCCGGAACTCTGTAGACTTGGCCTTTCGGGACTGTAGTAGCTACGACCTTGACCTTTCAGGACTGTAGCAGCTACTACTTCTACACAGTTATGAACCCTACTGGACAGACCTGCGGTTGAAAACCCGACGACTACACAGACCTACGACAGACAACAACCAACTACTAAGACACAGGTCACGGGTTCAACACACAGGGGTCGACTGGGTACTGTACATGGGTGAGGACAAGGTCTAGGGATCGAGCCCTGCGATCTGCATGTGCTACTGCAAAGGTGAAAACCGTTTCATATTTGGACATCATGACAATTATATACGTGCAAATCCTATGTCAACTCCAGCTCACATAGTGCGAGAAGGGTATTTTTAATTTTCTTTTTAGTAATTTGTTACCTATTTATGCACGTTTTGTGGCAAAATTTGGTACAAAATCGCCTTTTGGCCCTTTGCACGCAAGACAACTAGGCTGAACTAGCCCATTTAAACCACCACTACATCCGAGGCAAAATGTACAAATCGAAATCTGGATTTTGAGTTTTCTCTGTATTTTATATTTGGCGGCCCTGCTGCTTGTGTGTCCCCATCTCTCTCTCTCTCTCTCTCTCTCTCTCTCTCTCTCTCTCTCTCTCTCTCTCTCTCGTCAGTTGCATGTGCGGCCATATCTCCTGGCTGCATGTCTGTTCCAGTTGGTGAACTTTGGGATTTTGAGTTTCTCCACATTTTATATTTGGCGCACTACTTTTCAGCACACAGCAAATGACACAGGGAGGCACAAGTACGATTTAAAATTCTAAACGCATTTAGTAATGACTCTGTCGCAAATACATGTCGGATAGAGCAAAAGAATAAACCACCCTACTTGGCCCAGCCATTCTTTTCCACCCTGGACTGTTAACGCGCTGCTTTTTTCGGTGCTCGGGTACCAGAGAAAAAGGGCTGACGGCGCCAGCCAAAAGAAAGTTGCGCCGGTTCATGTTTTTGGGCGTGCGGCGCGTTCCCAACATTGGCAAAAAGTGCCTCGGAAGTACTCAGTCTGGTGGTGTATGCTGTGAAAATCACTGGAAGCCCATGCAGGTAAGCGGCGGGAGTAGCTATGGCTCAAGCAGAAAACACAAATTTCGTTTTCCCTCTGGCGCCGCCCGGTTCGGCCCGTTCGGGCCCCCTCTGGGCTGGGGTGAGGTCCCATTAGCAAATGAATTAGCTAACACAGGGAGTGTGCGACGTGAAAAGAAAACCTTTGCCCCCCGGCTATTCCTTAAACCACCAGTACTTCCAGGCCTCTCTGTCCCAAGGCGGATCTGCGCTGTGTGCCAGAAACAAATGAAGTCAGGGTTGAGTTCCGGATAGGCAAAGAAACACAGTGTGCAGTTTTGTCGCACCGGCAGTTAAGGCCGATGACTCCCAGGAGCTCATATTGACGGAGTCGTTTGGGACCTCGTCATCTTGGGGTACTTACACAGTAATGTGTAGGCGCAAAGCCGGATATATGCTGGGGACTCCCAAGTATCAGACCAAATGAAAAAATGTGTCGTTGCGGACAATCACTAGGAACGGAAGTCATGCGCTGCGCCCCTCAACAACTACACGCCAGACCTCTCTGCTTGGGATGATGACGGGAATGAGCAAAAAAAGCAAAAATAGTGGTAATTTTCCTTGGCCGTTTTTCGACTCAGAGGTTACTCGGGCCCTCTGCACAGCACGGCTCGCCCCTGTAGTTACAACATTCACGCACTAAGCCTTATTAAAAAGTGTCATGCCGCATTTATTGCCTTTTCGAACCTGACACGTGAGTGACCTGACGGTGTGTTTTTTACCCTATTCAGAACTCATTTCATTTGGGATGTAGTTGGGTCTTTTTTTTTTTTTCTGACCTGGCGCTACCAGCCATTTGGGTCCAGTAGGCCGATCCCTGAAGGACGCGCCGCGTTAAAGCCACGTGAAAGAAAAATGGCAGGAAACGTACTGGTGGTTTAAACCACCAGCAACTACCGGTTGGGGCTAACGCAGGAGCCGAATCGGCCTGCCCCTCCGGTCCAAATTCATTAGAGTCTGGGGGTAGAAAAATTGCGGTAGGTACTGGTAGTTTAACACTGGTGATGTCGGGGTGCAAGCATGGTAGCTCAGTTGGTTAGAGCTCTGACAGAGAAACGGAGAGGTCAGGGTTCAATTTCGGTTTGTCCTCATACATTCAGTTGGTCTTAGAATGATAACCCGCATACTTGTGCCTCACCCTAGCGCAGTTTAGAGATACAGACACGATACTACACACAGCATATTAGGGTACAGACACGATACTGCACACAGCATATTAGGGTATGGCCATGGTGAGCTACCCTGTGGGGCAGCTACGAGGGAAAGTAGGGCGTGCTTAGGGGTAGGGGCACAAGGAGGGAGTGGGGGGGGGGGGGGGGTATCGCTCTGTGAAAGCATTATCATGGAATGAAGAGTAGGGGTGTGTTCTGCATTGGGGGTAGGGTCACAGGCCGGTCCCCGTCGGGGGGACCAAAGGGGAGCACTGTTCTTGGGGCATCTCCATAGAGGGAGTTTACAGATAGGGGGGTCATTCTTCTCCCAGTCATGGATGGCAGGGGAGGAATTAGGGTGTTAGAGGGCTTGGTCAACCCTACTACCCTAGGGGATCATTGCCCTGTGAAGGCATTATCATGGTGGGTGGTTAGCATTCTAGTAGGGACCAATAGTAGGTGGAATCATAGTAGCCGATAGTACCCGTCGGTTAAACATGTGAGTACAATGGGCACATGCAGATGGAGGGCGGTGGAGAGGGCGGACGTGCGCTGTTGACACCGCTTGACCGGGCAGCCGTGGCGGCGGCCGTGTCAACCGTTGTTCTTCGTTGTTAGCAGGAGAGGGCACTGGGACGATTGAAGGAGCAGATATGCCCGCATAGAAGAAGGACGCTTATGCAAGCTGCGGATGACGGCCCCGACTATGTGGCAACTTCGAAGGCTGTGCTACATGTTGGGTTGTGGCACCATTCCACGGGCGACAGTGGATCAAACGCAGGACAGGGGGGAGTGTGGGAAGACCTTCGACAATGTGACGACACCATGGATGGCTACTTCAACGAGAAGCAGCACAGCGCCGAGGAGCAGGAGAGGGACCACCAGAAGCAGCACAACGATGTGGAGCAGCAGAGGGAGCCTGTGGTACTGGTTGGCCATGAACTGCACAGTGGAGAGGGCAGCAATGCCATGTCTGTTCTCGGACATCAAGCACACGACGGCGGAGAAGCAAGAGTCTTGTCGGACTTGCAGCACGTGATGAAATGTGTGGGAATACGATGCTCCTGCAGAAACCTCTTCTGTGGACGGACTGAAGGTGCCGCCGGGAAAAAATGTTTTCCCGACCGTTGCAGACGTTCCTCGAGATTGGGAGACCGCATGATACCGGCCGAAAACGACGATGCCACCCTGGAGGCCCACCGCCAACAGTAGCCGTTTGGGGTCATTGGGGGACTACGTAGACGTTGGAGGGCGGGGATGTTCATACTAACGTCGTTGGACCACATCTGGACCACCCAGGAATCGAAACTCTCCGTCGACGCATATCTTCGCCACTCCGTGAATCATGGTTCCTTGAGCTCGAAGGGACCCCACGAGGTCCCTTGGGGATAAGGAAATTTTGGTTGAGGCCGCAAGGACGCCACAAGGAATTTTCGTTTTCACATTTCTTTTTCAATTTCGTCTCCAAGGACAGGTGGAACGATTGCGTCCTAGTGGATTTCACGTCCCCGAGGAGTGTCTAATGACGCCCTATGAACTAAAAGAGCACACTTTGCGAAACAAATGGCAAAAATTAAAAATTAAAAAACAAGACAAGCATGAAGGGCACATTGAAACCATTCATTTTTCTCATTCTTCTTTTACCTCCCCCTTCACCGTGCCTCTCACGTACAAGGCGCGCCACGTGGATGAAGTTGAGCGCGAGCTGCCCTCATCCTTGTGTACCATAACGGCCCAGTTGTACGCTGTGAGAAAGAGGCAGAGTGAAGGGGGAGGGGATAAGAACGATAAAAGGGAAAGTAAGGGAAAGTACGGAGTGTGGAGTGAAGATGAAGGCAAAAGAGGATAAGAAAAGGCTCAAGAATGAGTCTGTCCTTCAGGATAGAGAGGACATACATTGTAAGGATGAGGTGGATGAACACATGGAAGACCTAGTTGAGCATTCTCAGTGCAACAATTGCCACGACGGCTGGCATTGAGCATGCCCACCATACATCCCCAACAAATGGGATATCGATTGCAAGCCAAAATGAAGGAAGAACGATCAACACAAAAGACCATGCATTCAGTATAGCGCCCATGATCGCAAAATGAACATATAGTGTCCGGATGCGGAGGGTGCCTGCAGTCAGGAACGGAGGGACAGTCCTCTGCACACATGGATGCAGAAACCGTGTCATTGTAGTGATTGTGACAGAGACGATGGCGGCTACAACCGAGTGTAACAATGTTTGTGGCTGTGCAAAGGAGAAGGTCGCAGAGTGTTGGTACATTGTTTTGCTGCAGCACGGGGCCAAGGTCCAAAGGAATTATCTTCGATGTAAAAGAGATTGCGGACGGTTTGTTGTGGCAAGAAGACAACATCATTTTGTAAGAAATCAGTAACATCAGTCATGGCATGGACCATGGTACCGTTGTCCTACAGCTCCTAGTGGTCAGAAGCATGTACAATGACCATGTAATGGCTAGGCCCGTGCACAACGCAAACAGAGATGTGGGATAAAGGATTAAACCACTCACCTGCTCGAGCATTTCGTACTCCAAGTTGGCGGTCTCTCATTGCTACTTGTAGGACAGCAATGGTAAAGCCTCCTTGGCTGGTATCATTACAATCCTCTGGTTGTAGTTGGGGAAGATCAACATCAAGCTGAAGGGCGATTCCAAGGAAGTCTGATGGTGTATAAAATGGGGGGTGAAGAATATGAAGACATGTATTAGTTGCCGTCAGACCACAGAGATTGGTGAGGTTCTCCAGATGGTTTGTTGGATGTTGGCCAACAATTTGCAGATTAACCAAATGGTGTTGCAAACCCAAACTGTGTTGGGTTGTGTGTTGGTCAGTCATTTGCAGATCACCCATACGGTCTGTGGCCAGCGAAGCACAAACTTGTGTTTCATCCAAACAATGATGGACCTTGCTGGTCAACCATTTGCAGATCCCCCATGTGGTCTACGCCTTGTGGGGTCAACTGCAACCCACTCAGATCATGTTCCAATCCCTCAATGTTTGGGGCTGCATCCTGAGTAGGGACTGTACCTGGAGTCGGTAGTGTACTATGGGCAGCGACTACATCTTGTTGTACATGTGAGTCATGAATATCTAACGCCGCAATGTATAAAACATGGTGCAGTGGCTGCTTGCAGACAGCTGGACTATCTGCAGGAGGCATATGAGCGAATATTGCAGCTTGAAACAAAGGAACCACAACAACCTGTGGAGGAGGCACCTACGAATCCCCCTCGGCGGCGGACAAGCGAGGCCGAGTCCGCGGCCCGGCGGCCACGGCCGAGTCCGCAACCCCGCAGACGCGTCCGCGCGGCCGCGCGACTTCGCGGACGCGTGGCGGCCGGTGGGGAGGGGGGTTGGGAATTCGGGAAGCGCCATGGGGCGGCGCAACCCCAGCCCCATCCCCTCAAGCAAAAAAAAATAAAAATAAAAATATTTTTTTTGGGGGGGGGGTTGG